CTCAGGTGGAGGGGCAGTAGTGATTTTTGGCTGAAGGTGGTTGCTTTTGGTCCTGCATGACAGTATTCCATGGCATACAGCAGCATAGAACTTTCCTTCTCAAGTTGAAAAACTGACAACCTGTTTTTCTTCTTTCCTGTCCTTGAATGTAAGAAACTACCTTTGCATCATTGCAGAATAACGAAAAAGTGCCAGCCTGGTAGTGGTTTAGAATTACATTGCAGCATTACTTCTTTCAGTCACAGCACTTGCTGTAGTGTGTCATTAATACGTCTACTATAAATACACAACTCCTGGCCCCTGGAAGCACATATAGATTTGGTTATCAGGTTTTGTAAATGCTGAATCAAGTACTGATAAAACTTTCAAATTGGTTACATACTCATCTACATTAGCTCCACAAACCTCACTGGAAGAGGAGATTTAAAGGAAGAGTTTAACCTTTTACAGAAATTGTATCCTATATTCAAACAGAATAAGGTGTACATAAAGTACAAGAGACATTTCTGCACAAAAGGGCCACAGTCCAACGAGTAATCAAGACCCTAGTACTTTTCTAGTAATTTCCTAGACAGTTTGTAAAAAATTCCACCAGTAAGTTTCTGTTCAGAAGTACATTCTTTCCCTTTGGACACCATTTAAAAGGATGCTGATGGAATTAAAATTCATACATAGGGTGCAATGATAACATTTTTATAAGGTAGTTTCTGTTGGTCCACGGGCTGGGAGGAACTATGAAAATGCAGTAGCAGGCTAGTGTTGGTGTAAGGCCAAGACCAGCACAGAGAGTAACAAACCTTTGTATTGTCAAAGGTAATTGCTAAGAAGTTACTTTTGCGTGTACTTGATAGTATTTATCTAGTGCACATTCTTACCTTTGTTTAATGGAAAATCTTTGGTCTCTTACTGCAAGATGTGCAAATGCACAAGGCTTTCTGAAACCATGGACTGAAAATACACTTCTCAGCTCAGCTTGGGTCTTCACAGAGCCACATCAGGCAGAGTTCATGGTACTAGGTTATCAATGTGTTTTGTCTATTCCAGTTATGATGAGCTTAGCTCTCGAGGAGAGGGAGTTATTTAAGGCAGTAGTGAGCAGATCCAGAGAAAGGTCTAGGTCCCATCTTCTTGGGGGTTAAGGGTAAAAGGACAATTACCCTGAACCAGTGACAAAGGGAAAGATATATAGCAAGGATACTTGAGATTCCTTTGAGCTGTGAGATATTAGCCCAGAACTCACCACTTTGTGAAAAAGTCTGTCTTTAAGGTGTATCATTTTCAATACAACCAGCATGTAGCGTTGCCAGTTAGTTACACACAATCAGTTTCAATTTCATATGTTTATTTTGCTTCCCTAACCTTCTGCTGTGAAGCTTGCTCTCTTACAAGCTCTTTGGATAGCACTAGATGCTCTCTGCAAACCATAAGCAGACTTGGGCCATGATTATGCTACATAATTAAATCAACCTAATTTACATTGGCACACAGCCACAACAGTAATTATATTGCTTGTGCGTGTCTACACTTTGCTCGTTATGTCAGTAGTGTTCATCCTCACCAGAAGTGCTTGTATTGGTTGTACTGTCAGTGTGGGGCATTGTGGGACAGCTCCTGAAAGCTAGTAACAGTCGACATAAGCAATGCAGTATCTACACTGACACTGTGTCGACCTAACTACATTGACCTTGACTCTTATGCTGCTCGTGAAGTTGACATTGCATGGCAGTTATGTCAGCTGGTGCAAAATTTAAGTGTCGACACTTCTATAGTTAGGTCAACATGAACTGCCTTGTTTCAATCTGTAGTCCAGACCTCAGTCTTTGTCTACACAAGCAATTTATCCTGGAATAACTATGTCACTCAAGGGCATGGAAAATCCACACAGACCTAACTCCCTAACTCTATAGTGTCGATACAGCTACAATGATGGGAGAAGCTCTCCCATCAGCATAGATAGCGTTTTTGCCACAGCAGTGCAGCTGCAGCATTTTAAGTGTTGACAAGCCCTTAGAGATAAGAGGAAGTTTCCCCTGGAGAAGTTTCCTCCTGAGTCCTAATGTTTAAAGATTGGTTTATGTCCCAATTGAAGCAGGTTAGCTTGTATCCCTCAAATGTTTAATTGCATTTTTAAAATGAATATTATTGCCATAAGTGTCAAATCCCTTTTTAAAGCCTCGAACTCTTGCTCTTAATACTGCCTTGGGACAATTAGGGCTGGTCTATGCTGAAAACTTAACACTGGCATAGCTATATCTCTCAGGGGTGTGAAAAAAAAATCCAGTCTCCCTTAGAGATGTAGGTATGCCAACCTAACACCCAGTGTAGACAGCTCTCGGTCAAAGGATGAATTCTTCTGTTGATCTAGCTACCACCTCTCAGGGGAGGTGGATTAACTTCAGCACCAGATTACCTCCCGTTACTGTAGTGAGTATCTACATTGAAGCGCTACAGTGGCACAGCTGTGTTGTTGTACCATTTTAAGTGTAGACATAGCTGGAGTTCCACAGGCTTACTGTGGGAAAAATATTGTCTTTTACCACACTCCAGTTTTGAATTTGTCACCTTATTTTGACATCCAGCTTCTTGTCAGTTTTCCCCCCTTAAAAAATAATCATTTAAACAGAATTAAAATTTAACCCCCCACCCCCACAAAAATTTAGGATTAGAAGACACGATAATTTCCTTTAAAAATTAATGAGCTTCTACTGAATTTCACAATTCAAAAGGCAAACAGAACAATACAAAGAAAACAAACATTCTAGACATTTTAATAAACACACCAGCAATGAAAAAAACCTCAAACTTTGGCATAAGATCAAAAGTCAACCATGTGTTACTAGTTACACAAAAACACACAAAAATCAGTTACAATCAGTACAAAGCTACTTACTCTCATGTAGTAAGTGTTTATAAAACTGTTGAGAAAGATTTTTGGCCTGATGACAAAAAAGCATTTAAACACAAGTTGAGCTAGATTCAGAACAGAGGTATAATACCTAATTGTAACACCATTTTCTACATGCATGAGTGACAGCTAAATTACCTAAAGTTAAAAAATACTTCTAATCTGTAACATGTTTAACTTAAATTTCCATGTCCAACCCAGACTTTCAATAACAGCTACAGGACAGCAAGAGTACTAGGGACTGAATATTTGAGATGGGGCAGAGAATATTCAAAATTTACCTTAAAAAAAAAAATGCAAAAAGTTCACACCCACAGCTATATTTTCACCAATTCCAGTAACTACAGAATTTCACAAAGTTTTCTGGGTACAAAATCATTGAACCATAATGTAAGTTTTCCAACTGAAACTGTTTTCTTACTCAAGTTTAATCATTTACCTGTCTGTATTTATTTTTAAGTGCATTTTAAGAAGTTAAACAGGTTCAGTGGCAAGTCTAAAGATTTGTGGATGTAGTTAGTGAAGCAAAATCTGAACAACCCAATAGAGAAGGCAACTGCATATCACATCAATTTCAAAATCAGATATAAATGACTGAAATGTACAAAAATATATATCTTCTAGAAAAAAGTTGAGGTAGCTCCTGCATTTGTCAATTTGGAGAGAATCAGTCTGGTGAGGTGGCTACAGCTCATGGACTACACAAAGGAAGCTTGATGAGGAGTCACATTATCAGTCCTCTTAGGTTTAGGACTGGGGACTGAGTAAATACAAAGGTGAGTTATTCACTACCATCCAGGAGACACCTGTAGCAGGAAAGAAGCCCTCACCAATAGAGAACACAATATAGAGTAAGGTTTAAAATGTCTCGCATCCTAAAGAAGGAAATTAATGAGTCATCGCTTTGGCTGGCCTGTGACAAAGAGGCCCATCAAAATCACTCCACCTCAAACAGCTTCTAGAAAGAGCAGCAACATTATTGCTACTAATAAAAAAAAACACCCCACTGGTGTTGCCATCAGGAGGGAGCAAGCAGATTCTAACCCCAGCAGCTGCCATCATTGTCATGTTGTAGGTGCAGCCAGATGGAACACCGGGAAGAGTCCAGTAAGCAAGTTGGGATTTTGAACATCCTTAATCCTTGCAGATGTAACATCCCCCCTAAAGTCCAGCAAGCCACAATCTGATCATCTTTTCTAACATTCATCAAATCCACTCCCACTCCAATCCACTTGAAGGTGGGTCTCCTCCTTGATCCTTGCACTCTCAGCTCACCTCTTCCCCCCTCTCTTGCTAACCTCACCTCTGTGATTCCACACTAGTATTCATGCAGAGAGACATCCTTTTCCAGTCCCCAGTGTTTTCAGTCCTTCAGAAATCATTCCTTTAGTCTGCCCTTACATGCCTAGGTCACTTGCTTCTTCCTAGCTACTCTGCCCTAATTAGAAAATTCAGATCATTCTCTCAAGGCAAGACATTTCTTTAGCCCTTGTCCTTCCCTTCTCTACACCTGTCCTTTATCAATTTATGCTGTAACAAATTCAGGGCAGGGACTGGAAGTTCAATTCTGGCATCGTATAGATGGTGAACACCGAATACCTTCAAATTGCAGGTTTAAATGCCCAGAAGAGCTGATGGAGAGCTTCACGCTGCAGAGGTAGATGAACCTGGTACCAGGCAGTGTCCTGGGGAGAGGTACTTTGGAATGAGAATTAACATGAGGTGTTGACCCACTTTAAGAAATGAAGTCACCCACTGCTCTTCTCCCAAGCACATTTTCTGTTTAAACTATAAGCTCTCAGAGACCTCCGACATGTCTGTTAAGGGGCACACCTATGATGCAACAACAAATCTTACAGCACATCTTAAGAACAGAGATCTGGACTGCTCTTGGCCAATACTCCAGCTCTCTGTTGTGCACCAGCTGGCTACCACATTTCTTCTTCCCTAGAGCTGGCTGCCTTGCAGTGGTACTGTATGTATGCACTCATTAAAGTCCTTTGATTTACCTTTAGGATGAAAGGAAGAGAGTTAAAGAACATGGGACATTAGTCCTGAAACCAATTAAACTAGAAGAAAAAATACACCAGACAACTTTCTAAACTGTAAATAGCCTGCATTTTATTTACAGTCAATACAAAAACTAACTCATTTCAGATGTATAGATTCGAACATCACACCTACTGCAAACTTAACACCGGTGTAAAAAGAAAAAGGATTTTCACGTTACATAAAAGAGCATTTGCTCTTCCATTCAGAGAAAGCAATTGCTCGGGTTATAAAAACAATACTGAGCAACAGTCATTGTGAATTGCATTTATTAGGAATCCTGCATGAGCAACTTATGTCTTACTAATGGAGACATTAGCATCAGGAGTTGCAAACAAAAACCAATGCCATATGCTATGGCATTCTTAGCCCTACTGGAGCATGAAGGAACTCGAGTCTTCGACTTTCAAAGACACAATGTGCAGCAGTCGTTTACATCATTCCTGGGGTTGCAGCACAGGTTCTTCTTGAGATCATAAATTCAGATCATTCTAAAAACGTAACAAAAAAGGCAGCTGAAAATAAAATCCCCCAAAGTAAAGACCAGGAGAATGCTATTTGTGTTGGATGTAGTAGCATGTCTCAGAGATGCCTCATACTATCGCCTCAAATAATTCTTTGATCAAGTGACATTAAGGAACAGAGCCAAAACGACAGGCTGTAATGACACCTGAGATAGCATGGGAGGGAAGGAAATTTAGTAACTCGGAATCTGCAGAGAACTGAATGAGGAAGCCAGCCTAGTAAAGACGCAGATTGGCTTTATGCTAAGAAAGCGTGTCCCAGTGGGGAACATGTAATCAATGATACTGCCCCCATCTGGAACAGGAACCCCAACCCCACCTACAGGCGGCGCTGGTAATTAGAATGTAGCCGAGCAGTATGCATATAATCGCCATAGGCGCCCGAATAACGGGCATAGTCGGAATGCGCTTCTGGAAGACGGCGATAATCCAGCGGGGACTTTGTCGGCGAATGACGGTACACAAGTGGCGAGTCTGCTAAACGACGGTAATCTGAGAGGTCAGATAAACGGCGGTCGGAACTGTACCTGGTCAAGAAAAGAGACATTTAATGAATAAAACAAAAGGGTCTGTGATAATGGCCTAACAGCGCTCTGGTTAAGCAATATATTTGTGGAGACCCTCATGAGAGATCAGAATCTCTCCAGTGAAAACAATACCCACAGAGCAACACTATTAGTACACGTCTCACTAAGGCAAACCAGAGGAACTTGTGGGTTAATTAGTTCTTTTCAGAACAGTTCCTTAGCTATCTTTTACCTCCTTTGGTGTATACCTCAAATATACATGTTAAATTTCCCCCAACTCTTAGGCAAGTAAATAGCACATGGGAAACAAGAGCTGGATATGCCTGCCATTTCTCTTTACAAATGCAGCCCATTTACTTATTAAACACTGAAAATAGGGAGGACTGGTCTGACGACTTATGGGGTTGAGGACATTGGTTAAAATCCAATCCAGGTCAGTAACAGTGGTCTCAGTCCAGTTCCTAGAGAGCAGGCACCTACAACACAGCACCACCACAACTGACAGTAGTTGAATCTTTCATTCGCGGTGTAAGCAGAGGTGCCAACCTGTGAGAGAAACTGAACTCCCCATCTTAGCCCTAAGGGTTGTAGTTCCAAGTGAGGGATAAGGCATACTGTTTGTGGTAGAGTGCAAGAAATCTGCAGTGCCATTGTCTGGGGTATACACGCCCTAGGTAGAAGTTTCCAGTCCCCGGGGCTGCCAATCTTGCAATTTTCACACAAAACTGTAAGAAAACACTAAATAAATATCCAGTAGAATCTGCAGACTAGAAAGAGGGGCACGCCAGCCTATTATCCCACCCTTAACTCTAGACAGACGCACCAGAAGCAAAGAAATTGGAAGGGGGAACTATGTAAGGATCTGTATTAGTGCCAGAGTGGGAAACCATTTTAATAATGCATCGAGTTTCACCTCCCACCCTGTCAATGCTTCCAAAACAGTAAGTTAGTGTAATGTATTAGCAGGGGAATTTCCACCTTTTGGTGAAGCAGAACCAAGTTTATAAAGGCGAAGACCAATAGACTTGTATTGAGTCTGAATGCCTCTAGTCCCTTGGACAGCACATCGAGATCCTTGGATGAGAGGTTCTATTTATGTGCAAAGTACTATCACTGGCTTAGCAGCATACCTTTTAGCCAAAGCAGATGATTTTTTGAAAGGATCGTCATAGCCAGCACTCCGTGGAGGAGAGAGGCGGGTGCGTTCGTATGGTGGTGCGATGGCAGCAGCAGCAGAAGACTGAGACAGTCCCAAATACGGGGTTGCTTGTTGTCCAAGCTGGGTTGGCCCATCATATGCAGTCACAGGCTGAGCTCTGAAAGTGACTGCCAAGGGAACAGAGGAGGGCTGCTGTGCTGTATATGAAGCTGACATTGAGTTTGAAGACTGTGTTCTATAGGGTGTGGTCAGTGGAGCAGAGACCTGTGATTTGTAGGAAGCTGCTGCAGACTGATTGCTATAAGATGCAGCCAGAGTGGATGCAGGCTGGGCACCATAGGTTGCTGAGAGCACAGCTGTAGGCTGGGCGCCATACGAGGCTGAATGGCCGGCCACAGGCTGGGCGCCATACGAGGCTGAATGGCCGGCCACAGGCTGGGCGCCATACGAGGCTGCGAGAGCAGCTGCAGGCTGAGCACCATACGAGGCTGAATGGACAGCCACAGGCTGAGCACCATACGAGGCTGAGAGAGTAGCTGCAGGCTGGGCTCCATAAGAGGTTGAGTGGCTGTCCACAGGCTGGGCTCCATAAGAAGCCAAGTGGCTGGCTGCAGGCTGGGCTCCATAGGCGGCTGCATGCGTGGCCACAGGCTGGGCTCCATAGGTGGCTGTGTGACCAGCCGCAGGCTGAGCTGCATAGGCAGCAGCTGCATGTGTGGCTGTTGGCTGAGCTCCATAGGAGGCTGAGTAACCAGCCACAGGCTGAGTACCATAAGAGGCTGCATGCGTGGCTGAAGGCTGAGCTCCATAGGATGACGCTAGTGTTGCTGTGGACTGGACCCCATAAGAGGCTAACTGGGAAGCTGCAGCCTGGGTGTTGTAAGAAGCAGCAGCCTGGGCGCTGTAGGAATTTAGTGATGAGGCTGCAGGCTGGGTATTAGAAGCTCCTAGTGAAACAGAGGACTGGGTTCTGTAAGTATTTCCAAGTGAGGTCGAGGGCTGGGCCCTGTAAGATGCTGCCTGTCCCGTTGTTGGCTGGGGTCTGTAAGACATTCCGAGTGATGCAGAGGGCTGGGCTCTGTAGGTTGCACCCAGTGAGGTTGATGGCTGAGCTCTGTAGGATGCTGGTTGTGCTGTCATGGGTAGCGACACAGTGGCAAAGCCGATTCTTGTTGGTGATCGTCGAATTGGGCTTCTGTCCCTTCCAAAATATGAGGGAGATGCTTGCCTTGTCTGAGTATCAAATGAGTTGTATTTGCTTGAAGTGTTGGTGCCACCGAAGCGCTGCTGATAATCGTAGAGTGAGGATGCAGTATATCCTGCAGAGACTGATGCATACGTAGAGTCTGTAGGCCTAAGCTGCTCATAACCATCGATCTTGGGTTGATATTTTTCTCTATAGTCCACACTTGCTCTCTTGCTCTTGTCAGCATTGGGGCCTGCCTGGGCATTTTGTCCTGCCCCCTTTTTCTGAACATTAGTAGAGAGTTCCACATTGACTCTTCTTCCTTTCACTTCCTTTCCGTTAAGATTTTCGATGGCAACTTTTGCATCTGCTTCTTTCTCCATGTGAACAAATGCATAGTCTGATAAAGTAGACAGAGGGTTATCAGTGAAGAAGACAAGACATTTTATTACAGGATCGAACACTTAACAGATGCACGCATCTCTCTGCTATTGCTTAAATGCAGTTTGGGTATAAACAGAGTTTGTATTGTAACCTTTCTAATACACTGCTGGCTGGCAGCTAAATTACCCCAATTTACCATAGCTGCTATGTTATGAAAACTGCAGTCTATTCTAACAAAAATGTAGAAAAAACCCACCAGTATCTAATCATGGCACAGAAAGAAATCCATGTGCTCAGTAGGTTTGTATACAAATACCCTCAAATAGTTCCCAAAACCTTAAATTCTGCAATATTGTCTCATTCAGTCCTGAACACACTGAACCAAATTGAAGTTTATGGAGTCATACCAGAGTAGAATTTGGCCCATTCTGTGCCATTAAAGAACATGTAACCAATACAGTTTTCTTGAAATTTCAGGAAGGAAACTATCACTAGCTATCCATAAACTGGAGATTCTTCCAGCAGGTCATGCTAATCTTGCAAAAACATCCAAACTAATCTGCTTTGGAATGCTCTAGTTTGTCAAAGATATTACACTATAGAAGACAAACTTAAACAGGGTTAGAAGGACTGTATTTAATATCTATAAAAGGATCTTCCTTTAATAAAGTATATTTAGTCTGTGGAGTGAGCAATCAGTTTAAGTATTTGTGAAAATCAAGTATGTCAGAACATCTAGAACCAAGACTGGGCGCCTTTCATATTCTAAAAAGCCAAATAAGTAGAAAAAGTAGCAGCCCCACGACTACTCTGACTTTAATAATCCTGAAATTCAGTAGGGTGTAAGCTTTACAATTACACTGAAAAATTCAGTATTTCAAAAGGATTTACCTCTAGTTTCTCAATTTATTTTTAATTCAAAAAGGCACATTTTCTGTGCTGCATCATCCTTGACAACCAAATCCACTATCATTTCCTCCCTGCATGGCAAGTGTAGTTAGTTTAAAGTCTACATATATTAATAATTTGGAATCTTTACCTCTGACTTACAGAAACTGTATGGTTTCCCTTAGTTTTTTCAAAAAATAATGAAGTTTTAGTCTGTGGAAGGATCTCAGGTTGAACATAATAGCTATACTAAATTCAAAGCTACCGCGACTGAGATAACTATCTTACACACGGAAATCTAGAATGATATTTTCTTGTAGGCATAATTCTAGTCTATACCAGCAAAACACTTGAAGTGACTATTACACTTATGACACTACAGGAGCTAGGGAATGTTCCAACAGCAGTAATTCTAAAGCAGTTTAGAAAAAACACACTTACAAGAAACTAGAATTTTACTGAACACAAAGCACATGCCTAATCCAATACTTCATAATTTAGATCCCTATGCTCTAGATGAGTGGTTCTCAAAGCCAGTCCGCCGCTTGTTCAGGGAAAGCCCCTGGTGGGCCAGACCGGTTTGTTTACCTGCCGTGTCTGCAGGTTCAGCTGATCACAGCTCCCACTGGCCACGGTTCGCCGCTCCAGGCCAATGAGGGCTGCGGGAAGCAGCACGGGCCAAGGGACATGCTGGCCGCCCTTCCCGCAGCCCCCATTGGCCTGAAGCGGCGAACCACAGCCAGTGGGAGCCGCGATTGGCCGAAGCTGCAGATGCAGCAGGTTAACAAACTGGTCTGGCCTGCCAGGGGCTTTCCCTGAACAAGCGGCGGACCGGCTTTGAGAACCACTACTCTAGATGACAGAGCCAGCCCCTAAACGCAGAGGACACGATGGGAATTAACGGCTCAAGGGATGAAAATCAGCCCACCCAAGCCCCACTGCTCAACCTCCCTGCTACGATGCAGAATCCAGACCATGCTATTTCTCCACTCCTATATTGAGGGCTATGGCAAGTCATTTCAATTTATTTGCCTCTACAGAGAGTCCAGCTCTTTTATAATGAGCAAAAAGGAGAATGGAACTGGCCACTCATGGACTGGACATTCTTAGCAGGCAGAGCATAGCTCACAAATTCATTGTTCCAGAAACTCCTATCTGCCACATTTTTGGGGACCCTGAAGCAACAGGAGCCTTTTCCAATGTACTGAATCCCAGTTTGCAAGGGCTGACTTGGGACCAGCAACATGGGAAGCTGCACTGTCCCTGGTGGGCACCCTCTCCAGGGGTTCTGTAGGCTTAGGAACTCAGAAGTGCCATGGTAAGGATTCTTAGTGTTCAAACATGGCTTCTGCTGGCCTACTTCACAAATAGGCCATCTTTCTCAACCAACAAGACAGAATGGAAATACTAAATTTAATCTGGAAATGAAGGAATTGGAGCCCTGCTGTACTCCCAACCCCATCCCTCTTTCCCAAGGGCTCACTTGGCCCAATAGGGCCCTTCCAGCAAGGCTGGCTTCCAGCGATTCAAACAGTTGTGCTAGAAAAACATCCAACTGTATAGGCAAGCAAGATCTGCCTGTGTCCAAAGTCATCAGACGCACCAGTGCCTCACAGGCTCTCTTTAAGTGCCTCCAACCATCCTTCTGCTATTACCAGCAGGGCCAAATGAAACCTTGGGATTTCTCAAGTTCAGCAAGGCCTTATATACATCAAGGAGTTGTAGAGATCTTGCCTGCTCTTGTTACTGGCCTTCATGTTTGGTGAATGGTGAGAAGCTGGTGTTTTTTTGGACACCAGTAATGCTATAGCTGATTTCTGCCTATAGAAGCAGGTGGTCCCAAGGACTCTGCACTAGAAAAATAGTTTTCAGCAATACTATTATGGTGCAGTCTTTTAGTAAGTGGGCATGACAATCTGTTGTTCATGTGTGATGGTCAGGTCTATGAAAATAGATTCACAGATTACATTTGTAGATTTTAAAGCCAGAAGGGACCATGATAATCATGTAATCTGACCTCCTGCATAACATGGGCAAGATAATCTCGTCCAGTGACTGCTGAATCCAGCCTGTTTTGGGCAAAAATAGAACGTATCTGAAAAAGAGGCACACACAATTTCAACATAGAGACTCCAACTGATGAAGAATTTTCCACATCCCTAGTCCAAATAGAGTAGTGCTATACGAATCACAGTGACTTGCTCAGATCTAGGCAGCTAAAAAAAGTTGAAAAATAAATCTCTCAAAGTATCTCAAGAAGTCAGCAAACATCTCAACACACTTGAGCTGGCTGTGCAGATTACACCATATTGGACTGTTATCAACCACCTGCAAGTGAAGATAAGGGCATTAAAGCAAGTCAGGTGAAACACTCAGGATTCGTTTTCTCCAGTAATTACAGAAGAGCCATCACCACTATTTATGGTTTGGTTCTTTCATTCTCTTCCTGAATTAAAACAGATCCCAAAGCTCAGCATTTTCTGAGCACATTAGAACCCTGAGAAAAGGGCTCCCTATTGCACAATGAACAAAGCATATGGAAGCATCTGTGCTGGTCAGTTCCTATATGGTGAACAAGTGGCATGTGGTATAAATGATCTAAATTGCATGACAGAAGGCAGGCTGAATACTCTTGGTCAGTTCAAGTGATGATTGGTAGAGGAAAAAGCAGTAACATTGGTACACAACCTTTGAAGGTAAGACACTCAGCAACAGTATTAGCAGATCAGCATGAAAATGCAAAGGGCCACAGCAAAGGGTTCTCATGCTAAATGGGGGACTTGGGCTTAGGCCTGAGCCCAAAACATCAAACCCTAGGCCAAAGCTTTGGGCAGAAGGGCTGGTGAGATCCTTTGAAGGGAAAAACCGCAGCTGGCAACACCAAAATTGAGATCCCGCTCCATCCTCAAATCCATACAGGCTGTGCAAGGCATGGCACAGGGAAGGGATTGTTATTTACAGTGAAGAAAAAGTTACTTAATAGGCCATGCCTCCAGTGGCACTAGTACACACAGGTTCTGTGGGTTGCAGTTAACCAGGTCACAATCAATGGCGAGTCTAGGTCACTCAAATCTAGCCCATACAACAGGTGACACTTGGAATTTTTTCTTGGGACCCATGTGTAAGAGGCCTTATTTACCTAAACAGGAAGGGGAAATAACTATGCAATTAGAGATGCTACTGTTCTGCACTACCACACTCTGAAACGAGTCCATGGCAAACTCAGGCACTGCAAAGCTGAGCTGGGCCCTGTGGAGAGAAGGGTAGCCCAACCGCAGCAACAGGCAGCACGCAGTATGGGGAGAGCATGTTGTATTTAATATTAGGTCCAGGAAATGCTGCGTTTCATCACCTTGCCCTGGATGAAGAACTTTATAACATTCAGAAGGAACACACAGCTCTTGTGCAGACAGGACTCTGAGTGCATTGTGCTCATTTGGTGAGTCAGGAAGCTGGGAAGTCTGCCACGGAATATTTGAATATAGTGGATGAAAAGCTAGGAGAATTTGCTCTGGGAGAGGGGGCCCTTTTTAGCCATAATATGTGGATTAGGAAAATTATTTTCTCCCAAGACACCATGCTGGAAGTGAGAGGCAGTTAAACCCCTCTGAGGAAAGGCAAGGGGTCTATTTAGATTGTACACTTCATGACACAGGCATTTGGAGGAAAGGGAGGCTGCATGGAGCTCTTTGCAAATAGACAAACAAAAAGGCAGGAAAAAAGTGATAAAGGAAAATAATATAGCATCAAAAGAGAAGGATAGCTAAAAGGAAATGAGAGGAAACGGAGAAGAACCGACACAGAAAGCTACTGCTATCCCCCTTTTAGGCTCTGGGGATGGAGCTGCTCCCAAGCCTTTGAGGCAAGGAAGTCTGTTACCTTTCATTACACTGGATTTTGGGCTTTGGCCAGCCCTTCAAAGTTGTGTAGTCCCCTGGAAGTGCTGGGATGATACAGGTGTATATAGGCCACAAAAGAACTGTAGTTGATTGGCTGTTATGGTATTGTTTTTGAGAACAGCTGCATGGGCACAGAGGTTGGGCCTGGAAGGGGTATTTACACTGGTGAAGGAGAAATGGTTACCCATGTTGCATTTGGTGGCAGGTCCATATCACTTGAAACAGCTCT